ACCTCAAAGATGGATTTTCTTAGTGTTTTAACCTCTTCCGTGTTGGGCATGTCTTTTGCGACGTTCGCGATATTTATGGTGAAATTTTCAAACACACCTACAGCCTCCTGCAATGACGTAAAATATCTCCAGGTCAGTAACTAACCAGTCTCATAGATACAATTGATATTAAGATGGCGGAAAAAGTCTAGCAGGAGGCCCTCGATGGTGTCCAGGGTATTCATTGTCAAAATAACTCTTTTAGGAGCCTGGATTATTTTTTCCCATTTTTCACCCTTTTCACCTCATATGGCTTGAATGGTGGTTTATCCTGAAAGATCAGATATTTACTTTTATGGTTTAAATAGATATATCAAAGTTAAAAGCCTTCAAGTTATGAAAATTGGATACCTTTATGGAAATATTTCTGGTAATGTTTATTCCGGATAATTTTGACACAGAATCATTTGCCTAGAATTTAAAAAAAAAAATGTCACATTTATAAACAGAGAAGGTCCCGAAAAGCGACATGCATAGGAACGTAAATGACTATTTAGAACACAAACCAGCTCCTTGACTGTCCTTAAAAACGATGACAATGGTGTTGTTGGCGATAGCGATGGCGATGGCGATGGCAATGGCAATGGCGATGACGATGGCGATGGCGATGGCAATGGTGGTGGCGATGGCGATGGCGATGCTGGAGATGGATGATAATGGAAAATCTTGGATTAGAACGAGATGTCAATTGAGCTGTTTCAATGTTTTACGGCTTTCCTCTCAGCACATGTTTGTATATTTTTCCAACTATTGGGAGGCGAATGACAGGAAACGCAAACGGTTTAAAGGTTCAAAAATTCAAACTTGTCATATCGCTCAATTTACAAAACTTGGATGAAACAGTGAATACAGGTTTTGCTAAATGTGTCATAACACCATATGTCGCCAATGTTACGAAGTACTCAACTTGAAGTGTGCTATGCCAACGGAAACTATTGGAATACATTACCTCGAACATCCCCGTTGTTAACAATAATGAGGGAGGAAAAGACAAACGAGCTATGGCTGATCGCGATACTCGCCGGTTTTAATTTCTGTGCATGTTTGTTGCACCTTACACCATGGCATCTTCGATTGCGTTAAGCACCGGTGAAGTTTCGATTACATTGAGCACCAGCAAGTCAGTCGGGTCCCCCCTCCCTTATCATTTTGTGCCTTTTATTTCTGAGAATGGGTTATTTATTGTGCTTGGGACATATTCCACGTCATTATAGTGACCCACTCCTCTTACCATATCGTTGTGTACAAGGTGGTCCACCGTAGTCTTGGTAAGAGCCCTGCCAAGAGTTTTGTCTAGGAGCTGAATCTGCTGAACAAATGTCACAAATGCAATACAGAGGAATTAATTATTCCAGAAAGAAAAGAAAAGATCAGATTTACACACGCGATTGTACCTAACAAATGGGCAAACTCCCAGAATCTCGAAACAGAATTAATTTTACTGACAATTATTTTCCATTTACTGATTGAATAGAAGTGTGCTCTGATTGAACAGAGGTATACGTCGTTCATCAATACTCGTTACAGATATTAAACTTAAGTTTGTTTGCCAAACCAGTACCGTTGATTAAGGTTTTTTTTTTGTTTTTTTTAAACGTACATGCGCTTTTGTTTCTTACACTTTCTCTTCTTAAAAGGTGTCAGATTGTGCCAGATACATTTAAAGAAATGCTTCAAAGTTTGTTGGCAAGCCATTTGAATCACCTTTTTCATTATACAAATAAAAATATTTCGGTGAAGCCTCTATTTAACTTGCATCACCTCAGTCTGTTTCAACTACCATTTACTCGTTCAAAAATTGTTCAGCTCATGGAGAACCTTGCCGTAATTACAGCCCTAAATCAGTAGGGTACACACAGGCACCCATACTTCGATATGTTTTGTTCAAAAGAACATGCATTCATTCACTGACATCAATGAAAACGCCTTGTCACTTATGGCAAGGGAAAATCCCGTTGGCTAGATTATCCCAATCTCAACGCCCTCGACAAAAGTTGTTAAATATACAATTTCCATCGCTCTTTTTCCAGCTGCAGGCGGTGTAAAAAAAAGTAAAATTTTAGAGCCATCATTCTTTTTCGAAACATATGTCCCGGATTTTTTCATGGGCATTATGTTCAACCACTAATACGCGCTTAGAAGGTCGTTCATCGCTCACACGTACAAGTCAGGTGAGCTGAGCATATTCTGTGAACAATATTTTCACTTTTAAGAAGCAAGAGCAATTTTCCTGACACAAGTGGAAGACTGTAATGTTTCAGCACATAGTAGACTTTATGGTTGGAGTGTGATCTTACCTCCGGGAATCTCGCAAATATAGGTATTATTATCATTCCGAGAGATAACATTAAAGAGGCCTCTATTCCTGGATATTTCCGCATAATCGTCGTTACCATCTGGCTCAGAATCTCGCCATTTCGAAATGTTTAATTGTTCTCCACTCAGCCAAGTCCAAACCCCGCCTGTCTTCCATAAACCAATGTGCCACGCACTAGCATTCCGAGTACCACGCTTCTGAATCTCGTTACTGATAAACTGCCATTCTTCTTCAGTTTCGATGGAGACTAAGTCAAATCCCTGGACGTTACAGACACGCCTACTGTTGTTCCAATCTCTTTCGCTTTTCGAAAATATGTAAGAGGAGTTTTTGAAACAGGTTGCTTGGCACTCTACGAGAAAAACCAGTACTTCAAAACTGGTACTCAAGACCTTGGGCATACATTCTTCGATGTGTTATGTTTAAAAGAACATGCATTTACTAACTGACCTCAGTGAACACGCCTTGTAACTTGTGGCAAGGGAAAATTCCGTTGGCAAGATTATCCCAATCTCAACGCACTCGACAAAAGTTGTTAAATATACAATTTCGATCGCGGTTTTTCAGCTGCAGGCGATGCAAAAAAAATGCAATTTTAGAGTAATCATTTTTTTTTTCGAAACATATGTCCCGGATTTTTTAATGGGCATTATGTTCAACTACTAATACGCGCTTAAAAGTTCATTCGTCGCTGACACGTACATGTTCAAGTGAGGTGAGCTGAGCATATTCTGTGAACAATATCTTCATCTTAAGAAGCA